AATATAAATATGGACATATCATACACCAATTTAACAGAGGGTACAATTCTAAGCATATTGGTTAAGACCTCAAGTTTCTATCATCAATAATTTCATCAAAAATGTGGAAGCAATTTTTCAAAAAATACAACATCACTTTTTTACAACACCCCCCTCTTTGTTTTTTTTATTTTTAAATTTTAAAATATTTTTATGACCACTATTTTCCCTTCTGAGAAGTGACAACCTATATCTGAGGAGTCATATTAAGTTTTCCTCATAAATATACAATTTAAAATAATCCTGTGTCTAATATTAAAGTTTCCACTCTTTTTAAAAAAAGAATAACCAATGTTAAGAATACTACTTTTAATAATCATAATAAAATAATAAACAAGGAGTGTTAAAAAATATTCCATTCTCTAAAAAGTTAACAAATTTAATTATATTTTCTCCATATTAAGGTTTTACAAGAAAAATAAATGATGTATTCCATATTATTAAAAAATCAAATAATGCATATGTTGAAATGGATTCTAAATTGAATCATTTACAATTATTCCAATCAATTCCAAATCTAAAAGAGTCCTAACTTCTATTTTACTGAAATACACAAGATACTTTTATCGATTTTGCAGTATATATATTAAAGTTAGAGTAATAGAAATTCATTATTAAAAATAAAAAAGAAAATGCAAGGCTCTTTTTTAGAGAAGGAAGCTCTAGCTGACATCTTTGGTCAAATAAAAGATGTGGATGATCAAATGTTTGGTTTCATATTTGAAAAATTAAGAAAGGAAAAAGTTTAAGACATCATTGGATATCTTTCAGAAAATGTGAATCAAATACATTTAGAATAAAATATCTTACAACAAGCAGAGAAAATCGCCCAAGCTGATAAAGAATATAAATTTTCTCTTATTGGAAATGACATGAAATAAATTACAGATGTCTTAAAAAAATTAAAAGATCATGACTTCAACTATAAAGATTTTTCCTCTGAACAAAATGAAGAATCTACATTATTTCTAATTAATAGCATCAAAAATAATAGAAGGATCATTGAATTTTTGTAATTTTTAGTTCACCTTACATCAATAGATAACACTTTAATATAATGTGGATCTAATTCCTTACATATTTTAGTTTAAATTAAGGTGGACCTTAGTAATAAAAGTTTTGAAAATATTAAGATTAAAAATACATCTATAGTAGGAGCTAATTTTTGTAGATGTAATTTAAGTGAATCATAATTTAATAATGTCAATATAAGTGGAATAAATCTAAATGGAGCATAATTATTTCATTGTAAATGGAAGGACTTAAGAATCCAAGAATTAAATATACTACATGGTCATAGTGATTAAGTAAGATCAATTTGTTTTTCTCCTGATGGAAAAACATTAGTTTCTGGAGGTGGTGATTGCTCTATCCGTCTATGGGATGTAAAAACTGGATAATAAAAAGCCTTAATAGATGGTCATACTAGCACTGTCAATTCAGTCTGTTTCTCTTCTAATGGAAATATATTAGTTACTGGATATGGAAATGGCTCTGTCGTGTTATGGGATGATAAAACAAGAAAAAAAAGAGCAAAATTAGATGGTCATATTGGCAATGTCCTCTCGGTTTGTTTCTCTCATGATGGAAAAACATTAGCTTCTTGTAGTAGTGATAACTCTATCTGTCTATGGGATGTCAAAACAGGATAATAAAAAGCCAAATTAGATGGTCATACTAGTTATGTCTAGTCAGTCTGTTTCTCTCCTGATGGAAATACATTAGCTTCTGGTAGT